AGTTATGGATCAATATAAAGTAGGTTTAGGTTCATGGTAACTACTCTACAGTTTTCATTGATTGTTTTCTCGACACTCATTTCGTTTATCTTTAACGGTTTTTTTTTTGTAGTATCTTCGGATAAGAACTTGGTAATACACTTAAAATGACGAATTTAAACCAATAAAAGCTAATCTTACACATGTTCAAGTCTAAGATTATGCATGATCTGTTTTCCTGGTCGTTTTCAGCAACATTTTGTGAGCAATTTAGCAGGTTACTCTCTTGGTGGATTGTAACTTCTTATAGATTAGCCCCTAGGGTTTTGATTGGCTCCCCAAATGTCTATTAAAGTTAGGCCTACCTTGCCCTCTCGGGATTGCCCGCGTTGTCCCGCTAGAAAAGCTCTCTGGCCCGTTTATGATAAATCCTTTAATTTATTGAACAAGTTTATTCGATCAAGATGGTTTGATATTGGCCTCGTTATCTTTTTTTTTTTCGGTTCATGAAAACCAAAAAAGCTTTGTCAGTGATGCTTATATAACATGTAGCATTCAGCACTGTTAATAATGAAATTCTACAGCGAGGCCGATCATTTCCACTTTCATAGTTTCATAGATTTATCCGCAGTTCAAAATATGAATCATTTCATATATTTTCATTCACTGATAATAATACTTAACAATTATTCCTCGAGCCCGAATGGGCTCTGAGGCTATTGACTCAGAAGGCCATGAGGGCGAGAGGAATAATCGTTTAAGTAAAATCCAACTAGTTAGTTAAAAACATCGAGACAAAACAACTTTAGCTAACAAAACGCGATTCAGCCTTTGTTTTGGTTTTCAAAGCCGGCGCTTTTCGCTACTAGTGGGCTATAACATAGAGCCTATCAGTAGCTCAACCAATCAGAACGCAGCATTGATGATAGACCACTAGTTGGATTTTACTAAAATCATTTATTCACAGGGGGGTAGCTACCTGTACGCACCGTACGCTGAGAAAGTCGTGCACAAAAATAAATAAAAATAATAAATAAATAGTAATGATTTAATAATAAAAAATAAAAAGTTAGTTCTAAAAAGAAAGCAAAATATCTAAAGATAATTATTTTAAGAGCACAGTTTGCCTCAATTCATTAAACTCTGGCTGTTTCTTGTTTTTTAAAACAACTGACTTTTTTTTTCCTCTCCACCCAAATGTGGGTTTCCAGAGAAACGAAGTAATTCATTAATGGACCGAATCTTGATAACATATATATCTAGTGAAAAAATGGCAGACGTATTTACTGAAACCGTGTTCGGTTTCCTAACCGTTTACACACATCGACAAATCCTGGGTGCGACGACAAAGGCGACGGTGACGGTGACGGTAATGAGCCCAATAAGTAAGTGAAAAAACAACAAATTTTGCTTGTCCAGCGCGCTTTTCTTGACAACCTGTACGAACACCACTGTAAATTTCCTTTTGTGACGTTTTTTGGAGAACATAAACACAGGGACAAATTCAATTTCTTGAGTCCGAACTTGGGTGCGGTCCCCAAGACTCACTCAAGTTCACCTATATTTGCCATTTTAAGAGAGTTGACGGAAACAAACGCGAAAAAGTAGCTAGGGACGTTTTCGTTCCCGGCTCTCGCCGTCGTCGTTGCTAAGGCACCTCATATTCATGAAAGTGATACTTCCATTTTGGTTTTACTGCAAACTCGTATGATCAAATGCGGAATAGTATCCGGATAAGTTGGACAAATTGTTTACACTACAAAATATTGCGAATTTACAAGGCATCGGATTCTCTTTAGATTTCGGATTCAAAA